ACGAAATACGGAACAAAGAAAAATCGATGAATTAGTGTGAGCGCGGAAGATAATTGACTTAGAGACCAAACTAGCTTTAGTTCGTAACTGCGTCAACAAGTATCATCAATGATAAGTTGATTTAAGTTGTCTTATATTATTGACTCAATTACAATGCAATCAAAGTTGCATACTAATACAGCCGTGAAAGTTGAATTGAAAAAGATGCGCAAATGATTTTTAAAAAAGCACAAACTCAATTTTCACGGCTGTAAATCATTGACTAGAATGATATTATTATTAACGCGATTATCAACTTCAATTCTCGTTCCAACCATTTCAATCCTCAATTTAGTGAGTGCTGAAATTTATTGACTTAGAGGCGAAACTAGCTTTAGTTCGTAACTGCGTCAACGAGCATCATCAATGATATTCACTTTTTATGTTCTTTCCAATTATTTGTATCATTAAAAAATTTCTCTTCTTACTCGATTATTAACTCAACATCAATTCTCAATCGAAGTTTCAATTGATTGATCATCTTCAATTTTCTATTTTCCATAATTGTTTATATTCCATTGAGTAAAATAATCTCTCTCTTTACCTCATCAGTTATTTTATGTGGGTATAAACAAGATCCTGTTAAAAATTCATTTAACTGCAATAAAGTTGTTCCATAATAATTTAACATTTAACAACAGATGAAATCTGCAGAGCATTCAGGTTGAGGAAAGTTGTGCCAGACAACTCAGGGATGGAAAATACAAAAGATTTGGTTTACAAATTATTAGATAAAAACACAGATTAAAATTTACAATTTATATTAATTGACTGGTGATTAGTTTTATTGTCCACATGTCCAATTCTATGAACGAATGTACGACACAACTACTACAAGCAACTGCTGTAATTTCGTTACATGAAACTTGTCAGTGAAAAATATCATTACTCTACCAGAACTCTTTATCACTCTATAAATTCATATTAATCCATAAGTCTGTTTGAAAAAATTAGCAAGATTTATTTTAAGCTATTTTGTAGATACCAGCAAATTTGTACAGGATGCCTGAATATTAAAAAACTAGGATGTATAGTTCTTTGCCGTATTAACAAATAAGCATGATCTGATTTATCTAATGTGAGCTTTCTTTGTCTGCCTATATTGCGTAAGAATTTATCATGCAGATATTCAGTTCTAGAATTTGCTAGCTTAAACAGACTAAATTACTGGAACGTAAATTAAATCTTTTAGTGCATGAATGTTAACACAGATAATACAGATGGTAATACAGATGTTTAAATTTTCATTTTGTATTGGCTGAATTTTTCGGATTATTTTGTTAATGAAAACTCTTTTGTAATAAAAAAAGATTCTTTTTCATCTTAATATTTTTTTGACGTTATCGTGTTTTGTACAATCCTTAAAAAAGAATATTAACATTTCCTTATTCTGAGTTTATAAAGGTTTCTTAGTATCAAAACTTTTACTATTTTGCAATCGATTATTGGAAACGTCACTTTCACAAACGGTGGCATGTAATATAAATGTTAAATTATGGAGCTGGTTATAATATATCTAAGAATTTTCTGCAAAAACAAAATATGCCCTTGCAAAGCCTTGCCTTTGCCATCATTCCATAATTTGATTCATTTCATTTGTTATGATGTAGATAATTGAGGTGATGAGGATGCAGTAGATGATAGTGTGTTTCTATTTGTTTATCAATGAATTTTTTTACATGCGCATAATGCCAAAACCATCCCTATGAACGATAAAAGCATTGAATAAACCTCACTAATGATTGTTTAATGAAACTTTGTATTTTCTTTATATTACTTGGCAGAAAAGTTTATTTTCATTCAGTTATTATCTTCAATCAGAATCAATTTCCAATATTAACCCATCAAAGTGCTGCAACTGTTGTTATTCAACCTTTTTTCTGATGCAATTTCTTATTAATATTTTAACTCATTACTGTATTAATGCTGTATTAGACCGTATTAGAGAGTGGCAAAATTAGCCTTTCCTTTCTTTTTTAAATACTAGAGTTTTGCCTGTTTTTTGGTTGAGTTTTCAAATTTTCATAAAATACTAGAGAGATATAAGAGATAAAAATATTGATCATTTTGCAAGGTGCGATTTTTCATTCATTTTGACATAATCAAGGGGCTTACGCTTCTCATCTATCAGTCCTCTGATGTTAAGGTCACCAGCAAAATTATTTAAGTTGTCTTATATTATTGACTCAATTACAATGCAATCAAAGTTGCATACTAATACAGCCGTGAAAGTTGAATTGAAAAAGATGCGCAAATGATTTTTAAAAAAGCACAAACTCAATTTTCACGGCTGTAAATCATTGACTAGAATGATATTATTATTAACGCGATTATCAACTTCAATTCTCGTTCCAACCATTTCAATCCTCAATTTAGTGAGTGCGGAAATTTATTGACTTAGAGGCGAAACTAGCTTTAGTTCGTAACTGCGTCAACGAGCATCATCAATGATATTCACTTTTTATGTTCTTTCTAATTATTATTATCATTAACATTTTTTTTCTCTTCTTACTCGATTATTAACTCAACTTCAATTCTCAATGGAAGTTTCAACTGATTGTTCATTTTCCATTTTCCATTGTCCATATTTGTTTATATTCCATCGACTAAAATAATCTCTCCCTCTCTCTCCTTCTCTCTCAATTACCTCATCATCTACTCTCGGGTATTGATAATATGGATCCTGTTGAGAATTCATTTAATTGCAATCAAGTTGTTCCCATAATTTGATTCATTTCATTTGTTATGATACAGATAATTGATCTGATGAAGGTAATACGGATGAGGATACACAGTCGAAGATGTGTTTCTATTTGTTTATCAATATGTAATCAAAAATTCCAAAACAGAATTTTTTCATCAATGTATCACCACCGTCACTACTAACACCATCTCTCTAAGAACAGCATTACCGCTACAACTACTGTGGACAACTACAACTTATTATCTTCAATCAGTATCAATCTCCAATTCTCAGGCATCAAAGTGCTGCAACTGTTGTTATTCAACCTTTTTCCTGATGCAATTTCTCATTAATATTTTAACTCATTACTGTATAAATACTATATTAGACCGTATTATAGAGTGGTCAAATTAGCCTTTCCTTTCCTCTTAAATACTAATCAACATCTTTCCACCGTCACCATCACTCATCCCACCACCACCACCGTCACTACCAACACCATCACTCTAACAACAACATTACCGCTACAACTACTGTTAACTACTACAACTTATCATCTTCAATCAGTATCAATCTTCAATTCTCAGGCTATTAACAGGCTGTGATTGTTGTTATTCAACCTTTTTCCTGATGCAGTTTCTTAATTTAACTTATAGTCTATCAGCCGTTTATTTGAAATAATAATAAAAGAAAGAGAAATCGCAAAAAATTTAAAAAATTTTCTTCATCTTGTTGCCGTCATTTGGTTGCCAACAAACTAAAACACAATGTATTTATTGTAATTGTCAGTGGAATGGTTTAATTTCCAATGAAAAGCTAGCCAACACGGTTAAAAATAGAATAAGTCCTTTTTCCTTGAATAAACTTGACTAGTATATTTACCTCGAGAGTATTATGCATAACAAATATTATAATTATTAAGTCCATAACGATGATGCTGCATTCGATTTTGTGTTCCTATTTGTTTATCAATTTTAAGTAAACTAGCAAAACATTAAGATTCTCTAAAATGTATCAATCGTTTCATTCATTCTGCTGTCTGTCAAGCGTTTGAATTATTGTCCTCCTAAGGTCAAGTGCTGTAAAAAGTCGAAGGAATAGTTATGCCATTCAGGTGTAAATTTTGAAATTTTCATTGATAAATTAAATGCATATTTACATTTGTTGATTGAGCGAGAAAGGGCTCTTAGTCCTAAAAAGATAAAGAAAAAGAAATGGTAGAAGCGTGTCTTTTGGCGACTGTGTTAAGTTTACTCTAGGCAGGGGTTATTTTCGCTCGCTTGTTTCTTCATCTTCATTAGCATTAAAGAGAAAAGGGAAAGGGTAAGCTCAGAAACTGAGAGAAACGTCAAAAAATATCATCATCTTTTTTCTCTCTGCTTTAGTCCAGTGGTTAGCACCCAGAGCACGCCTCATCATTTGTCTTGCTAAATTTGAAGCTCTAAGTTCGACTCCTAACAGAGGCGAGTACCAATGCTTTGATCCTGCATTTGGGAAAGAGAAGCCTCTAGCGTGGAACTAGGCCTAAGAATAACCCTACAATCCTTCCCTCGGATCCGTTATCTATATACAGCCGATTGAATGGACTAGCTAAAATAGGTGGAATGCAACACTATAAAAGCCGTGACTTCCCTGGTAGGAGTTTCCCCAAACTAGTTTTTTAGGGAAAGGCAAAGCGAAAAAAGTAAGAGAAGAGAAATACCAGAAGCAATAAGAAAGAAACATTAGAAACTAATCATGATCGTGTTTGTTAATTGTTTTGTTAATTTCTCATTACAGATTGATGTATAGAACAATTGATACATTGATGAAGGTAAGATCTTAGTTAATGGTTGGAGGTGGAGCTAATGACTATTCGTCACACTTATCCCTTTGTTTGTTTAAATTAGGTTAGGTTAGGTCTTCATTAAAAGGGTCAAAATCGACATAGAAAGGTCCGGAGGGCCTGAGACAATCAAACGGGCACACAAGCAACCCAAAATTCAACTTAATTTTCCAATTTAAGCTGACGGACACTATCGATAAGTGTGTAGAATAATCATTGGCTCCGCCTCCAACCATTAACTAGGATCTTACCATTGATGAAAAACTCCGATGTTTTGTGTATTTTTAATTACAGATTAATAAACAAATAGAAACAATAACCTTGAAACTTTTAGTACAAAGTCGGCAATGGCAAAATGTATCATAACGAGGATTGATATCATATTTGCCGAATATTTTTCATATTTGCTGATCAACCGAATTGAGGTGATTGAGAATGAAGCGAGTTTGGCTAATCTTGAACTTCTCAACATTCAGGGTAATAAGTTGATCGAAATGTCTGATTCTCTATCCAAGTTTCCGTCCTCATTGAAATATCTTCAACTCAATAACAACACAATCTACACTGTACACAATGATTCGTTAACAGGCCAGTCTGGCCTCGAAATCCTTTGGTTAAATTGGAATAAAATCCAAAAGTTGACTAAACAAGTTTTCGCTTCGTGTTCAGGGTTACAAAAGTTGTATCTCGAAAATAACGAGATCTCATCAATTGAAGTTGGAACATTTGAATCTCTAAGCCAACTGATTTACTTGAACCTCGAGAACAATAATCTTAATCACTTGTCGGAAGGTGTTTTTCGTGGTGTCACCTCATTAGCAAAGCTCTACCTATCAGGTAATCACTTGATGGACATTGAGCCAGCAAGTTTCAGTTCGTTGTCATTGTCATTAAGATATTTGTCAATGTCTAACAATCAGCTGTACGTTATACGAAATCATTTTTTCACCAATCTTTCAAATCTTGATGAACTCTATCTGTCTAATGTTATGGTAGAGGAAATTGACCCTTTAACTTTTAGTTACTTGACCTCATTGACAATCCTTGATCTGAGTGACAATAATTTATCATCCGACAAACTGGATACATTGGCACTTCCATCCACTTTGAAGCACTTGAACATCTCATCAAATAACGGGACATCTTTGAAAAGCTACCATTTCCTATCGACATCAAGTTTATCCATTTTTGATGCTTCTTTTTCTGGAATATCTTCTTATTTTAAAATTGTATCTTCGTCGTCTTCTTCATCGTGTTCATCTTTACACACTCTCTTCCTTCAAGGTAATGGATTGACTTCAGTTTTCAGTGAAGATACAATTCCACCATCGTCAATATCATGTCCACAATTAAGTGAATTATATCTTGATTATAATCTAATTGAATTTCTTCCTAAGCCCGAACTTGGTATGTCCTTTCCCTCTCTAAGGGTATTATCTTTATCCTCTAATCGTCTTCGTCATATTGGCTCAGGCTCATTTCGTCATTATCAGCACCTTGAGAAACTTAATCTATCCAATAACTCACTTTCCACTCTTGACCCTGGGTCACTTGTAAATCTAAGATAAGGTAAGATTTAAGTATCTCCGGCTCATTTGAATCTCTTACCGAGTTGACCATAAGTTCAGGTAATTTATCAATAATTACCTCACACGATTTTTTCGGATTCGAAGCGATAACTAAATTAACTTTAAGTCAAAATCTTATGAGTAGAATATCACCAGGATCATTTCGTCCGCTAATCGGTTTGATTTGCCTCGATTTAAGTTACAATGAGTTAGAAATTCTAACTGAAGAAAGATTATCTGGTTTAATTCACCTGAAATTGTTCAATGTTACCCATAGTCATCAGTTTTTCTCGAAAAGTTCTCGATTAGTGGTTAGATCAGAAAACTAAATATATTTGTACAAAAACAAAGTCTCAACTTTAAAATAAAAAGCATAATTTTTGTTGATTGTCCTTAAAAGGCAAAATAAATGAAAAATGAACTCAAATGAAAAAGGTTAATTTTCTAATCAATGTAAAGTTTAATTGATATAACTCATCACGCACCTGAAAAGAATAGATTGATAGCTTACGAGACTCAATAAAAAACTCATGAATAATCTGCCATCTATCGGATTGACTAAACCTTATTAGAACTCGGCTAATTGAGAACAAGGCGAAATTCACTGAGAAGGTGTGTAACATTTTCAATACTTTTGTCTTTTCAGTGGATTTTAAGCTTTTTTCATGATCCAAACAAGATCAACAAACAAAAACCCACTTTCTTTTCGGGTTTTAGCAACACCCATACAGTTTATATATGAGTGTACTCAACATCGTTCAACCAAGTAAACTTGCAATCAATAATTCCTTGGATGAATTCAAAATGAGAGCCATAGCAATAGATCCACGAATAATAGAATGGATGCTGGTCAAGAGATGGCGACACTCGACAGATAAAAAAGAAATAAAAACGAAAAGAAATGAATATATTTTCTGTTTTCTGCTTCGGTCTAAATCTGTCTGTTGATAATCGAAAGAGAAAGGAAACTTTTATCGTGAAGGTAATGCTTCTCATTTCTGTTCATTTTCATTAATTGGAAGATTCTAAGTTCGTGGATAAATTTAGTTCAACTCTCTGATTTTCTTTTGGATTGTGAAACGTTTTTGTTTTCTCATTTTCTTCTGTGACAAAACTCGAATTGGATAATATTAAGTGAACTCTTTTAAGCTGAGGATTGTTTCCCATTCTTCCCTTAGACTTTTGAATGAAAAACGGTTATTCGTTGGACTAATAAATTGCTGATTTATGTTCGTTGCAGCTTTTTTACGTATAGTGGAAGGGAATGAGATCAAACAGTATTGGGAATAGTATGGAAGGTGTCGGAGGGTTACCACCACCACCACCGCAATCTCATATATCGGAATCAATGCATCAAACATCGGCACCACTTCGTCATGGAATGGGTCCATTGAACGCTTTAGGGGAATCGCATTCTTACAATTATCAGGATAAATCAGGAAATTTTCTTCAAGGTAAACGATTCATGGGCTTTGATTCAAGTAAGTTTTATTTAACAATTAACTGTTCTATTGGAAAAACAAACAATTAATCAAGAAAACAATTCATCAAATCTGATCGTTCAAAAGTCAATTCAGGTAAATTGATGTAAAATTGTTGACACAGTATTTTATATAATTTCTGACTCAGGAAAAAGTTCACTCAAATAGATTTGAAATCCATGATGATAATGAAGATAAATTGATTGAGTTGATGGAGAAAATTTTCACCGCAACAATTAACTTGATTACTTTTAGCTATTCTATTGCATCTTGATGGAAAGTTATTTTTAGAATCTACAGTTTGATGTTTTCATTTAATTTCAAACCAATTTAAGTGAATAAAATATTAGCGATTGAACTTTAATTAATCAACTCAAATCAACTAATTAATTAAGATTGATTTCTAGTTCTAATAACAGGTAACCATAACCACGATTAACTTTAATTAAGAGTAAATATTCAAGTCTAGGATTTGCGAATCAAGTCAATCAGAATTTTTTTAATTCCTCTCTTTTTCCTGTTCAGTTTAATTCCCATTTCAAATTGACTGTTAATCATTAATTGTTTTCACTAAACCAATAAATCTTGGTTGATCCAGTTGATCGATTCAAGTTGATTGCTTATCAATCGTTATGTTTGATTTTTATAGTTATTAAATCCATCCAAGTCTCGAAATGATGATCATTGAGTTGTAACAGTTCATCTCTTTAAGATGTTCATAATAATCTGAAGATGAAGATGAAGATGAAGATGATCACATGTATCTCTAGTTAGATGAATTTCATGGTTCAAAATGATTTGGAAAAAAATTGACTTTCGAGATTGGAAATTAAAGGATAAAGGTGAAGATGATCAACTTTCATTGATGTGACAGAATGTTGTTGATCATCATCATCTTTTCTTCCTCTTCGTTCGGGTAATAATAAACCATCGATATTTCATTTTGAAAGAAAAAAAAGAAGAAAAAATGAATTCGAAAAAACTTATTTGTTATTGATTGGTGAACCAAATAAAAACGATGATGATGATTAGGAAGTGAGATGATGGCCCTATGGCTATAAGCTTTTCCAGGTTACAGTTTTGTCAGAAAATTACTAACTCCAAGTTGGAAACAGTGGGAATGCTGTGATTTTTTTCAGGTCAAATTGATTGTTGTTGTGAAAGAGGAAATGAAAGAAACATATAAAAGGAAGGAAAGAGAGAGAAGAAGAAAAAAGTTCTAAGTGAATAATGGTGATATTGATGATGCCGATGACGAAGGGGCAGTAAAAATTGTTCTTCTAAATTGACCACTTTTCTAACCATGGAAAAGCCCAAGTTACTCAGGATACTCTCTAATATCCTCTTCCATTCCTGCTCTCCCCATTCATTTCTCTCTCAGGGTGAGAAAGTGTTTGTGCTTAGTTTGCTGGAAAAAAATCGATAATCATCTGACTCTCTCAGAGTGAGAATACCTAGAAAAGATGATTGATAAAAACGCGAAGGTTTATTTTCAATCTAACTTTTCATCTCTTTTTCTTTTCTCTATTTTTTTCCTCTTCCTCTTCTCTCTTTCATCATCGTTACCATTCTTGGTCGTGATCATCATTTTCATCTTTCATCTTAATCACCAAAATAATATGAATGAGATTCTCTTCTTCGTTTAAATCAGATTCGAATATTTTGGTTAACGGAATTTTCGGAATTCATCTTTCTTCAATTCTCTCAATCTGAGTTCCATGTTTATCTCAACTAATAGTAATTTCCACTGACATAAACATTCTGTTTTCTCTCGATTTCTTTTCTCTCTCTGTTCTTACTTTCTTCTTTTTCGTTCTTTCGTTTTTGGTTCATGTGCAGAATCTCGAAGACTTGAGATAATATTTGAACATTTGAGAACAAAAGATGTATGAACTAGAATACAAAATGATCTTAAACATTCTTCATATGAAAGAGAAAAAAATTCTTGATTCTGTCAGATGATGATAATACTTCATTTTTTATATTTTCTTTTTCACTCCCAACACTGCAACACCCCACCACCACCACCGCTACCATCATCATCATCATCTTATCCTAATCTCTCCACCAGAAGATAAGTATCATGATACTAACGATCATTCATTGTATTATCATAACAATTTTCTGATTCTTTAGTTTTATTATTATTAAGAAAGAAAACAAAATCATGAAATTTCACCATCGAAATTATTTCAACATGATGGCAGGAATTTCACATTTTATCACATAGTGATATTCTCAGAATTATGTATGGGTGGGAAATTCGAGGGAGAAGAACGGAAAAGGGAAAAAGTTAACACCTTGGAGTCAGAAAAATTTCTCCAAATTCGAATAGACTTTTTTTCCTCTTTTACACCAAATCAATTTTCACTCCCACTGTTCAAGTGTTTGAACATGGAACAGAATTTGACAATTTATATCATCATAATTTCATCATCGCCAGATGAGTAAAATTTATAAGAGAGGATGAGAAATGAAGGTGATTGAAAAATAATATAAACCAGATACAGAGGAAATGTTGAGTTGGATGGAAAAGATTGGTGATTCATCTGAATAATCACAAGTCCAGAAACAGAATTTTTCACAAATGTGAGATATATTGAACTGAATTCTGTCAAACCTGAGTACATCTCTGAATTATTCTTGTACTTTTATGATAGATCAAGCAACCAATCGGTTGAAAAACAATATTTGCGATTATATTGAACAGAGACAAATATAACATTTTAGATGAGGAAAATCAAGAAAGAGATTTGATCATTTCCCCTGGAAGTTTTCCCTGTAAAAACAACAATAATTCTGGAAATCTCTTGGAAAATAAGGAAAACAAATGCACAGATTCTGTAATTCATGTTACCTCAAGGCAAAAGAATTGAGAGATTCTCTTTGTAAAGAAATTGTAGTTTTCTTATATCTGGAAGTTATCATGTAAAAAGTCAAAGAAAAACAAAGTTTAGTGACTTTGTGAGCAGTTCAAATGAAATCGCAGGAAATTTTAACGATATATTAATGAATATGAATTTTTTCCTATTATTTTATCATCTTACATTTAATTGTATTCATCTGGGAAAAAAAATCTCCTTGTATTTATCATGAACATGATGATATTTTATCATGAATAGTAATAATAATTTTAAGTTTTTTCTCTCCTCTTTTTCTCTCTCTTCCTCATTCATATAAATATCAGTGTGTTCAGGGATATTGAAAGATAACATGAACAAACTGAACTATACTTGAATCTTCATGAAGATAATTTGATGTAGGTTTCATCTTTGATTCTCGAGAGTAAATTGTTACTATTAGAGGAAACAAAAATTGGATATATTATGGAGGAGAAAGAGAGAGAAATGAAGATGATCATGAGGCATGGAAAGAAGCTAAAATAAAGGAAGTGGAAGATAACTGTTAAGTTTGATGATAATATTATCATCCTCATGTACATTTGATAATAATAATACTTAGTCTCATTAGTCTGTGAAACTATTCAATTAGTTGGGAAACACATTCAACTGTTAAATTGTGCACCATTTATCCTCAAGGTATATTCAACATTTACACTAAATAACAGTTATTATCATTGTAATTTGTATTCATTGTTGTTGATCAATAATCACGACCCAAGTGAGAGTGTCAATGTTGATCAGAGCTTTTTTTTATCTACATCTTATTCATTTCCATAGGTTTTCAAGTAACACTTAAGATTTACCAATATTTTCATTGGTATCATGATGATACTCAGCACATGTGAATTGTTATCTTACTTTTTCAGGGTAAATATGAATTTCTTTGCCTGGTTCTGGATTTTTTCAAAGAAACTTTTATTCACCTGAGATGTGAATTTAGTTTTTTCACTTACGAAAGATTCATTTTAGAAAATTGTGAATTTTTTTCTTTACCATTTTCTGTGTTCTTTTCTGTGTTCCCATTGATAACTCTTAAGCTTCAGGGCGATTCCATATTCACATTTGATTCTAGCATTTGGATCATAAAATGTTGATGAAGAAAAAAAAACATCTACTCTATTATTTACATTGTATTCCCACATGAATTAGTGTTACATTAGGTTGAGCATGATGAATATTCCATATTTGAGAGATTCCATTTTTTCTGATTTCTATGATTTTCTGAAAGCCACAATGTGACACATTTTTGTGGCTAACATGATGTTGATGATGATGAAGGATATTCATTTGTTTCATCATATTGGAATCATACATTATCAATGGAAGGCATAACTACCCTTCAATAGGCTGTCACCTTTATTGAGATCATTCAGCTTGTCAGAATTTTATCCTTCAACCTTAGGAATCTGTTGGAAAAGTGTTATCGTCAACTTTGATTATGAAAATAAGTCAACAGCTAAATGAATGATTGAAAAGGTTATCAGTTAATGAGAACGAGATTTTTTCCCTTCATTCATATCGATTCCCGATTTGATTAAACTTCATTTTCCATGGTGCCTGAGTGTCAATGTTTTCTCATGATAAAAATGTCGAGCTCATTATTTCATCAAATGTAAAATGGTTGATTTTTGTGCTCTTTCAGATTAATTACCTGAGCCTTTAGTTTCTCCGCCATTATTATGATATTATTATTACTCAAAATGAACAAGATAGAATGAACTTTTTTCTTCTTCTTTTTCTTCATCATCAAATTTTCTGTTAATCTTTCGGTGATTTATTTAACATTCTCATTAGCTAATGTAATAAGAGATTACTCCGAATTCATTTTGTGAATAATTATCTTTTGCATTGGATATTGGGATTTATCATCATGTTGATCAACTGAGTGAAATCTGCTCACAGGGTATTCTTAGTATTCAATGAGAGTCTCATAACATCAGAATTATATTAAATTGTAATGATAATCTGATAGTAATGAAAAAAAAGGTAAAATACTAGAAATTTAATCTCAAGTTATTATTCAGTTGAATTGAATTTGATGAAGAAAAAAACAAGCTGAATGTTTTATCATGACTCATGTATATATTAATACATGAA